AATTTTAAGGGAAATTTTTTTCTTTCCTTGCCACATCCTTGTTTTGGAGGCAGCATCTTTACCTTCGATGTGTAGATTGGGATTTTTTGTTTGGCAATACAACCACAAGCGTTTGTACTTCTTAATTTATAAAAGTTATTTAAAATGTAACAGCCATGTGAGGTCACCATTTGGAATTAATCCTATTTTAGTGCCGTCGAATCTCCTATAATCATCTATAGGGATTCTGGACATTTTTGGACTGCTATGGGCCTAAATTCACTTTAACTCCACTATTGATTCACCAAATATATACAATTTTCGTAGCTATGACAAATAAGATGGTACGGCCTTGGGTTTTCTCCTTTAGCTCTATTGATTTGATTTGCGTAACTTTCATAAATGGTTTTCGTAAGTTTGTAGAGGCGACAACATATTTTGCAGCATAACTAGTCTCGCGTCCTCTACCAGAGTGGTCGTGCTAATTTTCAGTATCGAATCGTTGATTTGTTTTATTCGAAGACATTTCGCTGACACTAGTCTGCATCGATGATGGGAGGCGCCGTCTTAAGGTCCGAGTTACAACTCATCAAGATGACAACGATTGTGGCATATTTACGGCCCTTCACAGTCTTCCAATGCTGCATCTTTTCCCCCCAATCTCACTTATAGCTAAGTTTCCTATCTACACCCATAGATATTTTCTCTTTCTTCAAATTTCTCAGTGTGTAGCCCTTTAAGTGGGTTTAGCTGGACATTAACAACCACAAGTTTCACATCTCTTGATATTAATTGGTTTTTATCCGCTAGTGCATTTCTCCAAATGTGAAAACTCTTTCCTTGCTCCTTTATAACTGGCTATCAGGCCATCTTATTCGTCATAATGGAGGATTTTTGTAACTCCTATGTACGCTGGCCTCACTAAGGACTGCTTTCTTAAAACTTGAATCTCACTCCTGTTGGCATCTTGATTCCGATCATTCGGTCAACCCATCCCCCCATTCTAGTGACTGCCATTTCTTAGGGTGCTTAAGTCTGGCCTTCTTTAAACTTGCTAGTGTAGGATCTACTTATCCATTTCTACATCAAGTGTAAGATTGCTCTTATATTGGATGCATTCACCCTATTTGTTTTAAGTGATAAAGGACTAGAAGCCCAATTTTCCCACAATGCTTAGAATATGATTCACGTTTCCGTTTCATTTTACATGACGTTGCTTTCTAAAAGGTGTTATCCATGATGGACTACAGTTTCGATCTCGAACATGTGTTCAGCAACCCAACTGGGGCTCTACCATGGGTAGTGGAGCGTATAGTCTCGATACGTTAATCATTACGCCGCATTTACACGAACTCCTTCGGATCACAGGGCAGACGGTATAAAACGCTAGGCCTTCTCTTCTTTATTTTCCATAGGGGGATTGTCGGTGAAGCAAAGTAATGTCTCCTATGGTGATTAACTATATAACTTATTTTCATTTATCAGTAGGCTTGATACAATCAGTAAATTACTTATAAAATGTACTTTCTTAACGAAAGTAAGTAACTTAGTCGATTTTAATAGAAAATATAACTTTGTATATGCGAAGAAAAGTCGGGTTACGAGGAATTTTTTGGTTTATAAATGTTGAACTCACTTTCATTTAGAGTGAAAGTGTTTGGTAAGGCACATTCGAACGTCGATCTCACCAGAAAACGATGAAGGATTCCTGTCGTCTAGCTGTCGATTGGTTCTATTGGAATAAAAGAAAACAACATTAACAAGGATATGAAGACCAAGATGGTATGGCCTTTTGTGTGGTCGCAGTCTCCTTTCGTTATATAGAGGTTGTTTGAC